AAGTTCACATTGTCTGCAAAGAGAATAGCTACCGCACTTTTGGGGGATTCCTGTTGCATGAAGTATTGTTTTCCATCCTTTGACTTTCAGTCTGTGAATATCCTTTTGGGTTAGATGGGTTTCTTGTAAACAACATAAGTTTGGATGTTGTTTCTTGATCCATTTTTCCAGTCTGTTTCTTTTAATTGGTGCAATGAGACCATTTACATTAATGACTATAACTGTTATATATTGTTTATTGTTGACCTGTTATCTTTCTGCTGTTGCATCTTTATCTTTTCATTCTTTTTAATTGTCTACTTTGCTTAGTGTTTTTTTTTTTTTCCTAAGTGTATCTAAACTGTCTTTCAGTATTCTTTGCAGGGCTGATATGGTGACAATGAAGTTCTTCAGCTGTTCTTTTTCATGGAAGTATCTCAATTCTCCATTTTGAAAGATGGTTTTTCAGGATACATAAGTCTAGGTTGGAAATTATTTTCCTCTACGATCTGAAATACTTCACTCCATGCTCTTCTTGACCTTATTGTTTGTGCTGAGAAGTCTGCTGTGATTCTGATAGGTTTTTCTTTATAGGTGATCTGTCTTTTTTTTTCTCTGACAACTTTTAATATTCTACTCTTAGGTTGGGTTTCTGGGGTAGTGATTATTATATATCTGGGTGTAGTTTTATTTTGGTCATGGCTATTTGGAGTTCTATATGCTTCACTGATCCTGATGTCAGTTTCCATTCTTATGTTTGGGAAATTTTCATCTATTTCTTCTCTAAATATCCTCTAGATATCATTTGTGTTGTCCCCTTCTTTTTCATTTATCCCTATCAATTTTATATTGTTTTTCTTTGCATTGCCTTGCAGCTGTTGAATTATTTCCTGATTCCTTGTTACTTTAAAAAAAAATCTTTCCTTTCCTATTCACTAGCTGCAATCTTGTCTTCACGATCTGAAATTCCATCTTCACTTTTGTTGTGGCAGTTTTGACAACTTTCAATGGACTTTTTGATTTCCTGTATATCTCTTTGAATCTGCTTCATGTATTCTGTTTGTTTCTTCCAGGGATTCTATCTTTTTGTATTGTTCATCCAGGTATTCTACCTTTTTGTTTTGTTTCTCTAATTTTTAAACTGTTGCTTCTTTAGATGTGTTTAGCATCTCTTTCATTTTTTTTATCATTTCTTCATTTACGTGGGAGAATATTTCTAGTCTGAATTCCTTTAAAGCTTCCTGGAGTTGCTTCTTTATTTCAGTTGTTATTATTTCAGGTATTTCAGGTGTATGGCATGTATGTTTTTCTATGTACCTAGCTTCTTAGATTTCTTGGGATGGGCTAGATGTTTGAGAGTGTATTTAGGTCTTTCATTTTGTCATTTTCCTGTATTTCCGCGTTTCAAGTATTGTTCCAAGGCTTCCCCTGGGCCTGTTGGAAATTGTCTTCTATGACCTCAGCTCCTGGGACTCTGGCCGCCCACTTCCCCAGATTTAGAGAGGGTCTAGGTTGGAAGATTTAGAGAGGGGTGCAGCAAGCAGGCCCAAGAACTGTGTAGCAGGTCGCGTGTTTCAGGAAGCTAGAAGTTCCTTGGCCAGTGGCAGCGATGATCTTAAACTCTCTGGTTCCGGATGGTGCAGGGACACTCACTTCTGGCGACCTAGTTTCCAGAATTAAGGGTGTAGGTCGTCCCAAGACCCCTGGAGCTGGCCATGCATGGTAGGAAGCTGAGAAGTTTCCTTGACCTGTGGATCTGGTCGAGTGTGGCAGGAAGCTGGAAAGTTCCTTGACAGGCGAGAGCGATGATCCCAAACTCCCGGGGTTTGGGATGGTTTGCAGACACTCACCTCCGGCCACCCAGTTCCTGTTTTATTGTTTTTAAAAGTTCTACTCCTTCCTGTTTGCTATCTGCAATCCTGTCCTCAAGGTCTGAAATTCTATCCTCAGTTTCATTTAAATGGTTTTTCCAGCTTTCAATAGAATTTTTTGTTTCTTGGATGTCTCTTTGAGTTTGTTTCATGGATTTTGCTTGTTTTCTATATTGTTCATTTAAAGATTCAATCAATTTCCCATGCTTCTGTGGTTTTTTTTTTTTTTATCTATTTGTTCTCTAGCTATGCTGAACAACTCATTTACTAAGGTTGTTATTTCTGTCTTTACATGAGAAATTATTTCTAATTCGATTTCCTCTATAGCCTCATGGATTTTTGTCTTTATTTCACTTGCTATCTTTTCAGAGATATCTTTTCAGAGATGACTTAAGTCCTCCACTTCACTGTCACCTGTTCTTATTCCTGATGAACTAGATGTTTGAGATTGTATTTTGCTTTTTCATTTTGTCATTTTCACGTTTTGGGCTAATATTTGGTTTTTCAATCCTGATAGTCACAACTGTTGGTAGTACGTATCTTAGGGTCCTACTATGGGGTTGATGTTTGTCTGATTATTGATTAGCACAAAGAAGTGGAGGGCCAGTCACCTGAATTTTTCCTGAAGGTCCTATATTGGGTAAGTCCTATATTTTTCTTGGGCTGACTAGCCTAGGAGTTTTAATATAAGTCAACCCTTAGTTCCTGCTGTTGCTATGTATTCAGGCTATTACAGGTCACTAGATCTTCCTGTCTATAGTGTTTGTCTCAGCTGAGACCCTACTGTGTCACTGTTGTGTCTCATAAGCCCTTTTAATTTTCTCCAACTTCGGAGAGCCCTTGTTGGCACACTCCTCAACCTGCCTGATGTTCTTTGTGTGGAGGGAGTCACCTACCCCCTTGCCAAGTGCTCCAAGTTCTTACTGCTGGAGGGAGCTTTGCTACAGCTATTTATCCTCTGAAGAACTTGTTTTAGGGAAAAACTCACCATAGTGATTGGAACCTGCTGAGGTATTCTGATGGGGGAGGGGTTACTGAGTCTCCCATCAAACCAGCATGGTTAATCCACTATAGTTCAAGGTTCTGGCAGGGATATTAGAAGCAGAGCATCAACAGCAGTACTTGGTCTAGAAGACGGGGAGGGTCACCGGGAGCAGTGGGTTGGCAGCACCACAAACATGTGATTCTGAAATTAAAATGATTTGTACATTTATCCAGAAACATGAAATTTCTTCCCAGTGTCCAGAAGAAAACACACAGGTGCTAAATTGCTTCAGAGGCAAGACACTCGGTCCTATTGGAGAGTCTCAAATTTGGCAGAACACAAAACCAAAATTGCCTCCTAACAGTTGCATGATGCTCATAAGTGCAAGAAATATAGGAATATTTAAAAGGAAAAGAAAAGTAACTTTCCAGTGTCAAAAAATACAACAAACAAAAGTTCATTGCATGTTTCTGATAAATATCATTTCAAAACAATAATATCCTTACTGGAGGACCAAAAACTGACAAGCAAAAACTGCAAATAATGGAATTGAACATGTTTCAGTAACTTATGTAGAAAAGAGAGTCTTTTTATTGTTGCAGTTGTTGCTATCACTTTTTTGAGAAATGTGAGTATAGTTGAAGAAATTCAGCAAGCTTAAACCATGGCTACACTACATAAAAAAGATTGCTTTTAAATAAACAAGACTAGTTAATAGGAAATCAAAAAAGTTCCTATTAATTTGTGTTGAAGTCCTGTAATACTCCCACTATCTTGTGTTGACTGATTAGACTCTGTTCCATTCTGTATGATAGTATCAAGTTTGAGGGTATAGGCAACTACTTTGAAGGCAATAAGATTCACTAAGATGCCCATTCTGGTTTGACTATTGTCTCCTTTGGAAGTCCTGTAATGTGTACAATGCTTAAGTTTTATTGGTCTTGTTCTCTACTGTTTTGTTCAACTTTATAATATATAGTGAGATAGACAATTCTTTTTAAGGAAACAAGAGACATCGTTGATAACCATTGTTGATGACCTGGTACTCTGTTTTAAATCATGTGCTATGTCTATCCTTGATTTGACTGACAGCTTTGTTTTGCCATATTTGACTTTATTCTTCCCCCCCAAAAAAAGTAATAAGAACTAAGGAGTATAAAACCCAAAATGTGTAAATTTTGTTGTAAAAAAGAGAGGGAAAAAAAAGAGTTCTAAATGATACAACAGCAAGAGTGTTTAGGGGTGTTAAATAGCTGACCATACTAATGTTTTTGGTTGGATCATTGAACACAATTGTTTGCAGTCTCACTGTTTGAGTGTCCACTTTGTATGCTTTGATACTGTGATTTGAGCAACTATCTCTAAGATGATAATATGTAATCTATTAACCGGTGATTTCTTACTGTTTGGTTCTTTTTTTTTTTTTTTTTTTTTTGTAGTTCTGTATTACTTGTACCCTTACACTGCTTTGTTTTGTTTTGTTTTTTCTCTTTCTCCTTTTAAATAAAATAAAATAAATAAATAAATAAATAAACAAGACTAAAGAAAAATATCCAGTAACAGTTAAAGTAGTTCCAAAAAATCAATGCTTCAATCCTGCTCTGGACCACAGGTGGACATGAAACAGTGACACAGAGAGGGATACAGGTGACGTAGTTAAATATCACATTAGATATTTGAATAAGACACATTAGACATTACATTAATGACACAATTGACAAATGGTCAAATAGTCAAGAGTGCTACTTGTGGGCACAGACAGGTGTAAGAGACATGTACTAAAGAAAACGTCTAGTTGCTACAGAATAGAAACTAGAGTGGGGACTTGGACACTACATAACAACTCATCTGAGCCTGTTAGACCTGCTGTCCCCAGACTTTCGTCTCGCACACACATGCATGTCCATGATGCATTTCACCTTCGAAAGGCTATGGCCTTATAGGAGGTATTGAGGAAACACTTCTGCATCCATTTCTATAGGAAAACATCTTATAACTATGTCCTCCATGTTACACACACACACACACACACACACACACACACACACGTATCAAAAGAGTGTGGGTCTCACTCTGGCAGGAATCAAAGGAAGAAGCATACATCATTTGTCAAGTTGTCTCTATAAATGTACAATGAAAACCCATTTGCAAATTTTCTTTTGTAGATTTAATTTTCTTTCCAAGAAAGAAAAAAACATGCAAGGAAATAGTTTTTCTGCACGGCTTATATCCTCTCAGTGACTACCATTTTAGAATGATAAAGTCCTTACTGGCAGAAGAGTTAAAACTGAAGCAAAAAGAGTATAAAGAATGTGACAAAATTAAACTTGCCGACCTGATGTCAGAAAAGTTCATAATGGATGCGGGCCTGGGAACCCTGGTAGCACTCTTTGAAATGTTACCCCCTCTACAAAACACTGCAGAACTTCTCAGGAAAGAAAACCCAAAAGGTAATGGTATGCACTCTCCTAAGTCTGGTCTCAATACCCACCTTGGTCACAGTGATCACTTCCATAGCATATTCCTCAGTACCTATAGCAGTTCTAGTAGGACAGGTGCCAACAAGTTTGAAACCTATAGAACTACACTCTTATAACATATAGTAAGAAATTTCTGGGTGACTTTTCACAAAATCATGAAAGTGATGATATGAAGCAGAATGAATTTTCAACAAATTTGTAATATTGGATGCATTGGAAAAATTAAAAATTAGCAAAATAACATTTGACATCATGATGCACTTTATAATGAATATAGTTTAAGTATTTAGATCAATTACTATCATGTATCTTTTAAGGTAAGTTTCATTTCCCCTGCCTTCATACTATTCATCTTAAAGCTGCCTTTATACATGTAAATGGCTTTCTGTTAGTCAAATTTGAAACAACAATCTCTTTTTCATTTATTCCCAAATTAGATAATATTTATTCCACAACTAGTGGGTAGATGTTTGAAAGTGAATTTAAATATTTCTCATATAGTTGGCTAGAATTTTTAGGTGCTTGATAGAATTGCATGCTTGGATTATATTTTGCTATCTTCTCTTGCAGTTGTGGCACTTCTGCATTCTCCCACATGTGAACATTTTTTCTAATTGTGCCTCTATTTTAAACTTTAGGACAAATACATTGGGAAAGATTCCTAGCCTGTGTCTTTCCACCTTCAAACATATTAATAATTGCTGGTTTGGGTTTTGGGTTTTTGTGAGTATGTGTGTGTCTGTCTCTTTCTACAGATCCTAGTTTTCAGATAAAGGACAATAATCAGTGTGTTTTTTAACTGAATATTTCCCCATGAGATTCTCCACTTTGATTTTCATATTTCAATTAACAATTAATTCAAAGCATTGTGTATATGTGGGGTGTGTTTCTGTTTTGGATCTCAGGAGCCTGATAGGAATTCATGAATAGATTTTAATGCTTTTTATTAGAATATTGTTTCTACATAATTTAAATTTCGGATCCAAAGTTTGGTTTCACACATTACAAGTTCAGAACATTTCTTCTACAGGTGGAGTACGAGGCATATTTTGAAATTCAGAATCTGAAGTTTACAGAAGGTTATTTCACTCATGTGTTCTAAAAAGTGTATTATAAGAAATGTCATTGCTATATTTATCCATTGACCACAATCAAAATCCATAACACTTCAACATCCAAATAAAATCATCTCATTTTACTGAACTAAAGAGACATTATACATAGCTTTGTGTCACTTTACATCTGAATGGATTTCAAAAATGGACTTAGATATCAAAGCCACCAATGAAAAAATGCTATTCCTAAAAAGCTTTTGCCCACCATATAGGATACTGGGCCAGTATTCCAAAAAATTATTTCTCTTGTATGCATCTGTTTCCTGCTAAGAATCACTTTTTATATGAGTCTTGAATAAGGGCAGGTGATAGACTCCTTATTTGGGGGTGCTTGTAGGGCATTTGTTTTGTCTAAAATACTCTTCATTCTCACTACCCTGCAATTTGACTTCCATGGATTTACACATCATTTGATAAAATTTTCCATCTCAGGATTTCCTTGTTCCCTTAATCAGGAGACAATTCACAGTCTCAAGGACTCGAGCATTTCAACCAGTCAAAAAATACACAGACATGAGATTCTCAAACTACAATATTATTTACATTTATCCAAAAATAGGATATTTATTCTGAATGTCCTAGGAAAATGCACTATTGCTAAATGATTGTCAGATAAGACACTCATTCCATTTTGGGAGTCTGAAATCCTGCAGAAGTTAAAACCAGAATTCATTCCAAAAACTCATATTGTGCTCATAAGAGCAAGAAGTGTAGGAATGGTTTTCCAGGAAAACAAAATTCAGTTGGCAGTGACAGAAAATACAACAAACAAAATGCCTTGCATGCTTTTACTGAATATCATGTTAGAATGAAAACATCCTTACTGACAGACCAAAAACTAACAAAAAATGCAAAGAATGAAAACAAAAATGTTTCAGTACGCTATGTAGAAACGACAGTCTTTTTTATTGTTGTAGTGTTCTTTTCATTATTTTGTGTGAGAAATGTGAGTATTTTCAAGGAATTCAACAAGGTCAAGTCATTGCTAAGTGACTGAAAAATGGTTGTATTTAAATAAAAATCACTAAAGAAAAACATCCAGTAACAGCTAATGTAGTGCCAATCAATGATTTAATACTTACATGGACTAAACGCTCAATGGTGACACTGGAAGGGATACAGGGGACATTGTTGAATGTCACATTAGATACTATGCTAACTGCACTTCATTAATGAGCAGTCAAATACTACAGAGGGTTGCGTGGCAGAAGAGATACTAGCAATACACACATGCCAAGGAAAAACTCCAGTCTCTACAGAACAAAACACAGAGTCAGGTACATGGACACTGCATAGCCAGTCCTCTAAGCCTGTAACTTCTGCCTATCTCCACTTCTTTCTCCCACACCCATCCCCACACCTGTCACCATCAATACACAGGAGCCTCTGGAATTTTTCATAATGCTATTCTTTGACCCTTTCTACAGTGAAACATCTGGTCTCCTTCTGCACACACACATGTATCATAACAGTGTGGGCTTCTCTCTGTTAGGAATGAAACAGACAGACATATGTTGTCCCCATACATGTGTAGTGAAAGTCTATTTGCCAATTTTCTTCTATAGGTTTAAATGCCTTTCGATGGTGGGAAACAACATGTAAGGAAATTGTTTTTCTGCATGGATTATATCCTCTCAGTGACTATCATTTTAGAATGATAAAGTTCTTACTGGCAGAAGAGTTAAAACTGAAGCGATGCGAGTATGAAGAATGTGACAAAATTAAATTTGCCGACCTCATGGCAGAAAACTTCATAATGGATGCGGGCCTTGGAAAGTTGATAGCACTCTTTGAAATGTTACCACCTCTACAAAACACTGCAGAACTTCTCAGGAAAGAAAAGCCAAAAGGTAATGGGATGCACTCTCCCCAATCGTGTCTCAGTCACCACTTTAGTCACATTCATTACTTCCCCAGCATATTCCTTAGTAGCCACAGTAGTAATAGCAGCCCAGGTGCCAACAAGTTGAAATCCTAGAGAACTACACTCCCATAACATGTTTTAATTAATTTGAAGCAGAGAAATTTTGAGGAAGCCACCAAAGCAGAATGAATTCTCAACAAATCTGTAATATTATGATGCTTTGGAAAAATTAAAATTTAGCAAAATAACATTTTACAACATAAACAGTTTTACAATGAATACAGTTTAAGTATTTAGATCAATTAATATCTTGTCTTTAAGGGTAAATCTCATTTTCCATATCTTCAAAATTTTAATTTTGAAAGCTTCATTTATAGAGGTGACTGGATTTCACTTAGATTTGGCACAGTAAATTCTTTTTTATTTATGCCCAAATTAGATAATGTTTAGTTTACGACATGTGGATAGATGTTTGAAATTCAATTTAATCATTGGTCATCTACTTGGGTAGAATGTTCAGGCGAATGATAAAATTGAATGCTTGGATTTTATTTTGCTGTCTTCTCTTGCAGTTATGACTATTCTACATTCTCCTGCATGTGAGCATTGTTTCTGATTCTGCCTTTATTTCATTATTTAAGACAAATGCATTGGAAATCTTCTTAGTCTGTGTCCTTTCACGCTGCAACATATTTTTATTTCATGTTTTGGTGTTTGTTTTTTTTTTCCCCCTTTTCACCAGAGCTCTTTTTCAGGGAATGCATTCCCATCAAATGTGTTTTGATTTTACCAACCTTTACCCCACGGGATTCTCTGCTTTGCTTTTCAAATCCTTTTTTCCTATTACTCCCAAACATTGTTTCTGTGGCTGTCTTTTTCCCCTTAGAAGCAGCAAACTCTTTAGAAACAGAGAATAGATTTTGAGGCTTTTCTGTTGAAATACCATCTGTATATGTTGCTAATTTCTTTTTCAAATTTGATTTCACAGAAGGTAAGTTGAGAGCACCTCTTCTAACCATGCAAGATTAGAAGTATTTCAAAATTTGGAATCCTGATTTTGCAAGTAACTTCACTCATATGTTCTAAAAATGGTGCTTAAAAAAATGTCACCACTCTCTTTGTCCCTAGACCTCAATCAAAATCCATAATGTTTCAACATCCAAGTAGAATTGTCTCATTTTAGTGAACTAAATGGACATTATACATAGCTTTATTGCACTTCATATCTGACTGTATTTCACAACTGCATTGTGTTGTCAAAGCTAGCATGCAACATTTGCATTTTTAAAACATTTGTTTTTGCCATCCATACAGGGTGTTGCACCAGTATTCCATAAAAATAACTCCTTTTGTAGCCATCTGTTTCCTGCTGCAAAACAATTTCAGTACCACTATTGAATATCTTGAAATGACAGACTCCTTATTTAGTGGTGCTTATAGAGCATTTGTTTTGCCTACAGTACTTTTCGATCTCACTACCCTGCAGTTTCTTTTGCTATGTATTTACACTTCTTGCAATGGGGGTTTTCTTCCTCTGGATTTCCTTGTTCCTTTGAACGAAGCATTTCACAAGGAGGCAAATTACACACCCAGGGCCTTCTACATCTGAACCACTCAAAAGATGCATAAACATATGATTCTTAAATTAAAATGATTTTTACATTCATCCAAAAGTTGCAATTTCTTCTGAATGTAACCAAGAAACACATAGGTGCTAAACTTGTTCAAAGGCAACATTCTCAGTGCATTTGCGGAGTCTGAAATGTTGCAGAACACAAAACCAGAACTGACTCCTAACAGTCTCATGCTGCTCATAAGAACAACAATCATAGGAACGTTTTTTCAAGAAGAGAATAGTCAATTGACAGTGACAGATAAGGCAACAAGCAAGTGTTTCTAATGAATATCACTTTAAAACAAGGTGCTTTGTAGCAGACCAAAAATTACCAGGTAAAATATGAAAATGGATGTGCTTCAGTATAACATGCAGAAAAGAGACCCTTTGTTGTTCTTGTTGTTGTTGTTATTTTCACTTATTTGACAAATATAAGCATGGTTGAAGAAATTAAGGAAACTTGAAATATGGCTTGAACCGTGGCACAAAAATAGTTACTTTTTTAAATGGCTAAAGAAAAATATCCAGTAACAGCTAAAGTACTTCCAGCAAATCAATGCTTTAATCATACTCTGAACCACACATGGACATTCAACAGCTAAACTGAGAGGGGCTAGAGTGGACATCATTAAATACCTCATTAGAAGCCATGCTAATCACACATACTTAATGAAAACTCAAATGATCAAGAGGGCTGTTTGGGGCAAGTGGTAGCTGCAATACACATACACCAAGGAAAAAGTCCAGTATATACAAAATAAAAACCAAAGCCGTGCACTTGGCCAGTCATCTCAACCTCTAAGATCTGTGGAATCCAAACTTTCATTTCTCACATCCATCCCTGATACATGTCACATTGGCAGGAGCCTCTTAGGAATTCTACAGCATTGCCTTTCTACAGTGAAACATCTGGTAATTCTGTCTTCCTTGTTGCACACATGAATGTAACAAATAACAGTGTGGACCTCACTCTGTCAGGAATCAAATGAAGAGGCATACCTCATTTGTCAAGTTGTATCTACACATGTGAAATTAAAACTCCTTTGCCAAATTTCTTTTGTAGATCTGAATCTTTCTGTCTGGAAAGAAAATACATGCAAGGAAATCGTTTTTCTGCACGGCTTATATCCTCTCAGTGACTACCATTTTAGAATGATAAAGTCCTTACTGGCAGAAGAGTTAAAACTGAAGCGAAGACAGTATAAAGAATGTGACAAAATTAAGTTGGCCGACCTGATGGCAGAAAAGTTCATAATGGATGCGGGCCTTGGAAAGTTGATAGCACTCTTTGAAATGTTACCACCTCTACAAAACAGTGCAGAACTTCTCAGGGAAGAAAAGCCAAAAGGTAATGGGATGCACTCTCCCTAATCTTATCTCAGTCACCACTTTGGTCGCAGTCATTACTTCCTCAGTATATTCCTTAGTAGCCACAGTAGTAATAGCAGCTCAGGTGCCAACAAGTTGAAATCCTAGAGAACTACACTCCCATAACATTTTAATTAATTTGAAGGAGAGCAATTTTGAGGAAGCCACCAAAGCAGAATAAATTCTCAACAAATTTGTAATATTCTGACGCATTGCAAAAATTAAAAGTTAGCAAAATAACATTTGACAACATAAAGAGTTTTACAATGAATACAGTTTAAGTATTTAGATCAATTAATATCATGTCTTTAAGGGTAAATCTCATTTTCGATATCTTCAAAATTTTCATTTTGAAAGATTCCTTTATAGAGGTAACTGGCTTTCATTTAGTCACATTTGGCACATTAATCTCTTTGTATTTATGCCCAAATTAGATAATGTTTAGTATACAAACATGTGGATAGATGTTTGAAATTGAATTTAATCATTGGTCATCTACTTGGCTACAGGGTTCAGGAGAATGGTAAAATTGAATGCTTAGATTTCATTTTGCTGTCTTCTCTTGCAGTTATGACTATTCTACATTCTCCTGCATGTGAGCATTGTTTCTGATTCTGCCTCTATTTCATGATTTAGGACAAATGCATTGGAAAATCTTCCTAGTCTGTGTCCTTTCACCCTGAAACATATTTTTATTTCATTTTTTGGTTTTTGTTTTTTTCCCTTTTTCACCAGACCACTTTTTCAGGGAATGCATTCCCACCAAGGGATTCTCTGCTTTGTTTTTCAAATCCTTTTTTCCTATTACTCCCAAACATTGTTTCTGTGTTTGGGAGTAATAGGAAAAAAGGATTTGAAAAGCAAATTCTGTTTCTGTTTCTGTTTCTGTTTCTTTTTCCCCTTTGAAACTAACAAGCTGGTTAGAAACAGAGAATAGATTTTGAGGCTTCTATGTTGAAATACCATTTGTATATGGTTCTAATTTCTTTTTCAAATCTGATTTCACAGAAGGTAAGTTGAGAGCACCTCTTCTAATCGTGGAAGATTAGAAGTATTTCAAAATTTAGAATCCTGATTTTGCAAGTTGCTTCAATCATATGTTCCAAAAAAGGTGCTACAAAAAATGTCACTGCTAGCTTTATCCCTAGGCCTCAATCAAAATCCATAGTGTTTCAACCTCCAAGTAGAATTGTCTCATTTTAGTGAACTAAATGGACATTATACATAGCTTTGTTGCACTTCATATCTGATTGTATTTCACAACTGCCTTGTGTTGTCAAAGCCACCAATATAATATTTGAATTTTTAAAACATTTGTTTTTGCAATCCGTACAGGGTGTTGTCCCAGTATTGCATAAAAATAACTCCTTTTGTAGCCATCTGTTTCCTGCAGCAAATCAATTTCAGTATCACTATTGAATATCTTGAAATAACAGACTCTTTATTTACGGGTGCTTATAGAGCATTTGTTTTGCCTATAATACTTTTCGATCTCACTACCCTGCAGTTTCTTTTCCTATGTATTTACACCTCTTACAGTTGTAGTTTTCCTTCTCTGGATTTCCCTGTTCCCTTGAGCAAAGCAATTCAAAAGGAGGCAGTTCCCACACTCAGGGACTCCAATATTTCAACCACTCAAAAGATACTCAAACACGTGATTCTTAATTAAAATGATTTTTACATTTATCCAAAAGTTGCAATTTCTTCTGAATGTCCCAAAGAAACACATAGGTGCTTAACTGGTTCAAAGGCAATATACTCAGTGCATTTGTGGAGTCTCAGATGTTGCAGAACACAAAACCAGAACTGAATCCTAACAGTTTCATGCTACTCATAAGAACAACAATCATAGGGAAAGTTTTTTCAAGAAAAGAATAGTCAATGGACAGTGACACATAAGGCAACAAGCTAGAGTTTTCTAAAGAATATCATTTTAAAACAAGGTCCTTACTAGCAAACAAAAAAAACACCACTTAAAATATGAAAATGGATGAGCTTCAGCATAATATCCAGAAAAGAGAGTCTTTGTTGTTCTTGCTGTTATTTTCACTTTTTTGAGAAATATGAGCATGGTTGAAGAAATTAAGGGAACTTGAAATATGGCTTGAACCGTGACAGAAAAATGGCTATTATTTTAAATGACTAAAGAAATATATCCAGTAACAGCTAAAGTACTTCCAACACATCAATGCTTTAATCATACTCTGGACCACATGTGGACATTCAACAGTGACACTGAGAGGGCTACAGGGCACATCATTAAATACCTCATTAGAAACCATGCTGATCATACATAGTTAATTAACACTCAAATGATCAAGAGGGCAGCTTGGGGGAAGAGGTAGTTCCAATACACATATATTAAGGAAAAAGTCCAGTCTATACCGAATAAAAACCAAACACAGGGATTTGGCCAGTCATCTCAACCTGTAAGATCTGTGGAATCCAAACTTTCATGTCTCACATCCATCCCTGATACATGTCACATTGGCAGGAGCCTCTTAGGAATTCTACAGCATCGCCTTTCTACAGTGAAACATCTGGTAATTCTGTCTTCCTTGTTACACACATGAATGTAACAAATAACAGTGTGGACCTCACTCTGTCAGGAATCAAATGAAGAGGCATACCTCATTTGTCAAGTTGTATCTACACATGTGAAATTAAAACTCCTTTGCCAAATTTCTTTTGTAGATCTGAATCTTTCTGTCTGGAAAGAAAATACATGCAAGGAAATCGTTTTTCTGCACGGCTTATATCCTCTCAGTGACTACCATTTTAGAATGATAAAGTCCTTACTGGCAGAAGAGTTAAAATTGAAGCGAAGACAGTATAAAGAATGTGACAAAATCAAGTTGGCCGACCTGATGGCAGAAAAGTTCAAAATCGATGCGGGCCTGGGAACCCTGGTAGCACTCTTTGAAATGTTACCACCTCTACAAAACACTGCAGAACTTCTCAGGAAAGAAAACCCAAAAGGTAATGGGATGCACTCTCCTAAATCTGGTCTCAATATCACCTTGGTCACAGTCATCACTTCCCCAGCATATTCCTCAGTATCTACAGCAGTTCTAGTAGCACAGGTGCCAACAAGTTTGAAAGGTAGAGAACTACACTCCTATAACATGTAGTAATAAATTTCTGGGGGTTTTTTCGCAAGATCATGAAAGTGATGATATGAAGCAGAATGAATTTTCAACAAATTTGTAATATTTGATGCATTGGAAAAATTAAAAATTAGCAAAATAACATTTGACATCGTGGTGCACTTTATAATGAATGTAGTTTAAGTATTTACATCAATTAATATCATGTATCTTTTAAGGTAAATTTCATTTCATTTCCCCTGCCTTGGTACTTTTCATCTTAAAGCTGCCTTTAGAGATGTAAACGGCCTTCTGTTAGTCTAATTTGAAACAACAATCTCTTTTTCATTTATTCCCAAATTAGATAATATGTATTCCACAAGAAATAGATAGATGTTTGAAATTGAATTTAATCGTTTTTCATAAACTTGACTAGAATGTTTATGTGCATGACAGAACTACATGCTTGGACTTTATTTTGCTATCTTGTCTTGCAGTTGTGGCACTTCTGCATTCTCCCACATGTGAGCATTTTTTCTAATTGTGCCTCTATTTTAAACTTTAGGACAAATACATTGGGAAAAATTCCTAATTTTTGCGGTTCACCTTCCACCATATTAATACTTCGTGGTTTGGGTTTGGGTTTTTTTTGTGTGTGTGTGTGGGGGGGTGTCTTTCTACAGATACTATTTTTCAGACAAATCACGACAATCAGTATGTGTTTTTTACTGAATTTTCCCCCATGGTGTTCTCTACTTTGCTTTTCATATTTTTATTAACAATTAATTCAAGGCATTGCGTACATGTGGTGTGTGTTTCTGTTTTGGATCTCAGGAGCCTGATAGGAATTCATGAATAGATTTTAATACGTTTTATTAGAATATTGTTTCCACATAGTTTTAAATTTTGGATCCAAAGTTTGGTTTCACACAATACAAGTTCAGAACACCTCTTCTAAACGTGGAGAACAAGGCATATTTTGAAATTCAGAATCTGAAGTTTGCAGAAGTTTATTTCATACATGTCTCCTAAAAATTTTATTACAGGAAAATCCATTGCTATATTTATCAGTTGACCTCAATCAAAACCCATTACACTTCAACATCCAAATAAAATCATCTCATTTTACTGAACTAAAGAGACATTATACATAGCTTTGGGTCCCATTACATCTGATTGTATTTCACAAATTCACTGTGGTGTCAAAACCACCAGTGAAAATTTGCTATTCCTAAAAAGCTTTTCCCACCATATAGCATACTGGGCCAGTATTCCAAAAATTATTTCTCTTGTACGCATCTGTTTCCTGCTAAGAATCACTTTTTATATGAGTCTTGAATAAGAGCAGGTGATAGACTCCTTATTTGGGGGTGCCTGTAGAGAATTTGTTTTGCCTAAAATACTCTTCATTCTCACTACCCTGAAATTTGACTTCCATGGATTTACACATCATTTGATGAAATTTTCCATCTCAGGATTTCCTTGTTCCCTTAACATGGAGACAATTCACAGTCTCAAGGACTCCAACATTTCAACTAGTCAAAAAATACACAAACATGAGATTCCCAAAGTACAATGTTTTGTACACTTATCCAAAAATAGGAAATTTATTCTGAATGTCCTGACGAAAATGCACTATAGCTAAACTGATTGTCAGATAAGACACTCATTCCATTTCGGGAGTCTGAAATCTTGCAGAATCAAAACCAGAATTCATTCTGAAAAGTCACAATGTGCTCATAAGAGCAAGAAGTGTAGGAATGGTTTTCCAGGAAACCAAAGTCAGTTGGCAGTGACAGAAAATACAATGAATAAAATGCCTTGCATGCTTTTACTGAATATCATGTTAGAATGAAAACATCCTTACTGACAGACCAAAAATTATCAAAAAATGCAAAGAATGAAAACAAACATGCTTCAGTATGCTATGTCGAAATGACAGTCTTTTTTATTGTTATACTGTTCTTTTCATTTTTTTCTGTGAGAAATGTGAATATATTCAAGAAATTCAGAAAGGTCAAGTCCTTGCTAAGTGACTGAAAAATGATTGTATTTAAATAAAAATTACTAAAGAAAAACATCCAGTAACAGCTAATGTAGTGCCCATCAATGATTTAAAACTGCCATGGACTAGATGCTAATCTTCAATGGTAACACTGGAAGGGATACAGGGGACATTGTTGAATGTCACATTAGACACTATACTAACTGCACTTCATTATTGAGCTGTCAAATACTCCAGAAGGTTGCTTGACATAAGAGATACTTGCAATACACACATGCCAAAGAAAAACTCCAGTCTCTACACAACTAAACACAGAGTCAGGGACTTGGACACTGCATAGCCAGTCCTCTAAGCCTGTAACATCTGCCTATCTCCACTTCTTTCTCCCCTACCCATCACCCACACCTGTCAACTTCAATATGCAGGAGCCTCTTGGATTATTCATAGTGCTCTTCTTCGACCCTTTCTACAATGAAACATCTGGTAATTATGTCCTCCTTCTGCACACATACATGCATCATAGCAGTGTGGATGTCTCTCTGTTAGGAATGAAATAGAAAGACATATTTTGTCTCTATACATGTGTAGTGAAAGTCTATTTACCAATTTTCTATTGTAGGTTCAACAGCCTTTCCATGGAGGAAATATACATGTAAGGAAATTGTTTTTCTGCACGGCTTATATCCTCTCAGTGACTATCATTTTAGAATGATAAAGTGCTTACTGGCAGAAGAGTTAAAACTGAAGCGAGGCGAGTATGAAGAATGTGACAAAATTAAATTTGCCGACCTGATGGCAGATAATTTCATAGTAGATGCGGGCCTGGGAAAATTGATAACACTCTTCCAAATGTTACCACCTCTACAAAACACTGCCAGACTTCTCAGGAAAGAAAATCCAAAAGGTAATGGGATCCACTCTCCCTAATCTTATCTCAGTCACCACTTTGGTCACACTCATCACATCCCCAGCATATTCCTCAGTAGCTACAGTAGTACTAGTAGCTCACGTGCCAACAAATTGAAATCCTAGAGAACTACACTCCTATAACATGTTTAATAAATTTGAAGAAGAAGAATTTTGAGGAAGCCACCAAAGCAGAATGAATTCTCAACAAATTTGTAATATTCTGATGCATTGAAAAAATTAAAAATTAACAAAAAAATATTTGACAACATGAAGATTTTTACAATGAATGCAGTTTAAATATTTAGCTCAATTAATATCACATGTCTTTTAGGGTAAATCTCATTTCCCATTGTCTTCAAAATTTTCATTTTGAAAGCTTCCTTTATAGAGGTGACTGGCTTTCACTTAGTCAGATTTGGCATATTAATCCCTTTTTTATTTATTCCCAAATTAGATAATGTTAAGTTTACAACATGTGGAAAGATGTTTGAAATTGAATTTAATCATTAGTCATCTACTTGGTTAGAACGTTCAGGCGAGGGCAAAATTGAATGCTTGGATTTCATTTTGCTGTCTTCTCTTGCAGTTGTGACTCTTCTACATACTCCTGCATGTTTGCATTGTTTCTAATTCTGCCTCTATTTCATGATTTATTACAAATACATTGGAAAATCTTCCTAGTCTGTGTCCTTCTACCCTGCAACATATTTATATTTCATTTTTTGGTTTTTGGTTTTTTTCCCTTATTCCTCAGAGCTTTTTTCAGGCAAAGCATTCCCATCAAATGTGTTTTGATTTTAATGACCTTTTCCCCAAGGGATTCTCTGCTTTGCTTTTCAAATGATTTTTCCTATTACTCCCAAGCATTGTTTCTGTGTCTCTCTTTTTATCCGTTGCAACCAACAAGCTCTTTAGAAACAGAGAATAGATTTTGAGGCTTGGCTATTGAAATTCCATTTGTATATGTTTATGATTTTTTTTAAATTTGATTTCACAGAAGGTAAGTTGAGAGCAGCTCTTCTAATGATGGAAGATTAGAAGTGTTTCAAAATTTAGAAACCTGATTTTGAACGTCATTTCACTCATACATTCTAAAAATGGTGCTACAAAAAAATGTCACTGCTTTCTTTATCCGTAAGCCTCAATCATAATCCATAAAGTTTCAACAACCAAATAGAATTTTCTCATTTTAGTGAAATAAAAGGACATTATACATAGGTTTGTTGCACTTCATATCTGACTGTATTATACAACTGCATTGTGTTGTCAAAGCCACCAATGCAACATTTGCATCTTTAAAACACTTGTTTTTGCCATCCATACAGGGTGTTGCAACAGTATTCCATAAAAATAACTTCTTTTGGAGCCATCCATTTCCTGCTGGGAATCAATTTCAGTATCACTATTGAATATCCTGAAATGATAGACACTTTATTTGGGAGTGCTTATAGAGCATTTGTTTTGCCTGCAATAATTTTCAATCTCACTACCCTGAAGTTTCTTTTGCTATGTATTTACACCTCTTGAATGGGAGTTTTCATTCTCTGGATTTCCTTGTTCCCTTGAACAAAGCAATTCACAACGATGCAATTCACACTCTCAGGAACTCCAACATTTCAACCACTCAAAAGATGCACAAGCATATGATTCTTAAATTAAAATGATTTTTAAATTTATTCAAAATTTCAATTTCTTCTTCAATGTCCTGAAGAAGCACATAGGTGCTAAACTGGTTCAAAGGCAATATACTCAGTGCATTTGGGGATTCTGAAATGTTGCAGAACACAAAACCAGAACTGACTCCTAACAGTCTCATGCTGCTCATAAGAACAACAATCGTAGGAACATTTTTTTTTTCAAGAAAAGAATCGTCAATTGACAGTGACAGATAATGCAACAAGCAAGTGTTTCTAATGATTATCATTTTAAAACTAGGTCCTTTCAGGCAGACCAAAAATTACCAGGTAAAATACGAAAATTGATGTGCTTCAGTATAATATGCAGAAAAGAGAGTCTTTGTTGTTCTTGTTGTTGTTTTCACTTATTTGAGAAATATGAGCATTGTTGAAGAAATTAAGGAAACTTGAAATATGGCTTGAACCGTGGCAGAAAAATGGTTATTTTTTTACATGGCTAATTAAAATTATCCAGTAACAGCTAAAGTACTTCCAACAAATCAATATTTAGTCGTACTCTGGACCACAGGCGGACATTCAACAGTGACACTGAGAGGGCTTCAGGGGACATCATTAAATACCTCATTAGATGCCATGCTAATCACACATAGTTAATGAACACTCAAATGATCAAGAGGGCTGCTGGGGGAAGAGGCAGCTGCAATACACATACACCAAGGAAAAAGTCCAGTCTACACAGAATAAAAACCAGAGCCAGGGACTTGGCCAGTCCCATCAACATGTAAGATCAGCAGACTCCAAACTTTCATGTCTCACATCCATCCCTGATGCATGTCACATTGGCAGGAGCCTCTTACAAATTCTTCAGCATCACCTTTCTACAGTGAAACATCTGGTAATTCTGTCCTCCTTGTGGCACACATGAACTTATCAAATACCAGTGAGGCCTCACTCTGTCAGGAATCAAATGAAGAGGCATACCTCATTTGTCAAGTTGTATCTACACATGTGAAATGAAAACTCATTTGCCAAATTTCTTTTGTAGATTTGACACTTTTTACATGGAAGGAAAATACATGCAAGGAAATCGTTTTTCTGCACGGCTTGTATCCTCTAAGTGACTATCATTTTAGAATGATAAAGTCCTTACTGGCAGAAGAGTTAAAACTGAAGCCAAGAGAGTATAAAGAATGTGACAGAATTAAATTTGCCGACCTGATGGCAGAAAAGTTCATAATGGATGCGGGCCTGGGAAAATTGATAGCACTGTTTGAAATGTTACCACCTCTACAAAATACTGCCGAACATCTCAGGAAACAAAAGCCAAAAGGTAATGGGATGCATTCTCCAAAGTCTTGTCTCAATCCCCACCTTGGTCACAGTCATCACTTCCCCAACATATTCCTCAGTATCTACAGCAGTTCTAGTATCTCAGGTGCCAAAAAGTTTGAAGCCTAGAGAACTACACTCATGTAACACGTTGTCATAAATTTCTGGGGGATTTTTGGCAAGATCATGGAAGTGATGATATGAACTAGAATGAATTTTTGACAAATTTGTAGTATTCTGATGCTTTGGAAAAATTAAAAATTAGAAAAATAACATTTGACATCATGATGCACTTTATAATGAACGTAGTTTAGATATTTAGATCAATTAATATCATGGATCTCTTAACGTACATTTCATTTCATTTCCCCTACCTTCCTACTTTTCATCTTGAAGCTGTCTTTATACATGTAAATGGCTTTCTGTTAGAAAAATTTGAAACAACAATCTCTTTTTCATTTATCCCCAAATTAGATAATATTTATTCCACAACTAATGGGTAGATGTTTTCAATTGAATTTAAATATTTCTCATATAGTTGGCTAGAATTTTTAGGTGCTTGATAGATTGCATGCATGGATTTTATTTTGCTGTCTTCTCTTGCACTTGTGGCACTTCTGCATTCTCCCACATGTGAGCATTTTTTCTAATTCTGCCTCTATTTTAAACTTTAGGAAATATGCATTGGGAAAGATTCCTAGTCTGTGTCTTTCCAACTTCCAACAGATTAATACTATCTGGTTTGGGTTTTGGGGTTTGTTTTTTTTTTTTTCTGTCTCTTTCTACAGATCCTGTTTTTCAGACAAAACACGACAATCAGTGTGTCTTTTTTTACTGAATTTTTCCCCATGGTATTCTCTACTTTACTTTTCAGATTTCTATTAGCAATTAATGCAGAGCACTGTTTATATGTGTTGTGTGTTTCTGTTTTGGATCTCAGAGCCTGATAGGAATTCATGAATAGGTTCTAATGCTTTTTGTTACAATATTGTTTCCACATAGTTTTAAATTTTGGATCCAAAGTTTGGTTTCACGCAATACAAGTTCACAACAACTCTTCTACACGTGGAGGACTAGAAATATTTTGAAATTCAGAATCTGAAGTTAGCAGAAGGTTATTTCATTCACGTGCTCTAAAAATTGTATTATAGCAGATGCCATTGCTGTATTTATCCATTGACCTCAATCAACATCCATTACACTTCAACATCCAAATAAAATCATCTAATTTTACTGAACTAAAGAGACATTAAACATAGCTTTGTGTCACTTTACATCTGAATGGATTTCACAAATTCACTTTGCTGTAAAACCCACCAATGAAAATTCGCTATTTCTAAAAAGCTTTTGCCCACCATGTAGGATACTGGGCCAGTATTCCAAAAAATGATTTCTCTTGTATCCCTCTGTTTCCTGCTAAGAATCACTTTTTATATGAGTCTTGAATAAGGGCAGGTGATAGACTCCTTATTTGGGGGTGCTTATAGAGCATTTGTTTTGCCTAAAATACTCTTTATTCTCATTACCCTGCAATTTGACTTCCATGGATTTACACATCATTTGATGAAATTTTCCATCTCACGATTTCCTTGTTCCCTTAATCAGGAGACAACTCATAGTCTCAAGGACTCGAACATTTCAAAAAATACACAAATATGAGATTCTCAAACTAAAATATTTGGTACATTTTTTCAGAAATAGGAAATTTATTCTGAATGTCTTGAACAAAATGCACTATGGTTAAATTTATTGTCAGATAAGACACTCATTGCATTTTGGGAGTCTGAAACTGCAGAAACCAAAACTAGACGTCACTCTGAAAAGTCACATTGTGCTCATAAAAGCAAGAAGTGTAGGAATGGTTTTCCAGAAAAACAAAAGTCAGCTGGCAGTGACAGAAAATACTACAAACAAAATGCCTTGTATGCTTTTACTGAATATCGTGTTAGAATTAAAACATCCTTACTGACAGACCAAAAGTTAACAAAAAGTGCATAAAATGAAAAACATGCTTCAGTACGCTATGTAGAAACGACAGTCTTTTTTATTGTTATACTGTTCTTTTCATTTTTTGTGTGAGAAATGGGAATATTTTCAAGAAATTCATCAAGGTCAAGTTATTGCTAAGTGACTGAAACATGGTTGCATTTAAATAAAAATTACTAAAGAAAAACATCCAGTAACAGCTAATGTAGTGCCCATCAATGATTTAATACTGCCATGGACTAGATGCAAACGCTCAGTGGTGACACTGGAAGGGATACAGGGGACATCGTTGAATGTCACAATAGACACTATGCTAACTGCACTTAATTAATGAACAGACAAATACTCCAGAGGGTTACTTGACGTAAGAGATACTTGCAGTACACACACGCCAAGGAAAAACTCCAGACTCTACAGAAAAAAACCCAGAGTCAGTGACTTGGGCACTGCATAGCCAGTCCTCTAAGCCTGTAACTTCTGCCTATCTCCAATTCTTTCTCCGGCACCCATCCCCACACACCTGTCACCATCAATATGCAGGAGTCTCTTGGACTTATTCATAGTGCTCTTCTTCGACTCTTTCTACAGTAAAACATCTGGTAATTATGTTCTTCTTCTGCGCACACACACCTGTATCATAACAGTGTGGACTTCTCTGGGTTAGGAATGAAATAGACAGACATATGTTGTTTCCATACCTGTGTAGTGAATGTCTATTTTCCAATTTTCTTTTGTAGGTTTAACTGCCTTTCCACTGAAGAAAAATACATGTAAGGAAATTGTTTTTCTGCATGGCTTATATCCTCTCAGTGACGATGATTTTAGAATGATAAAGTTCTTACTGGCAAAAGAGTTAAAACTGGAGCGATGCGAGTATGAAGAATGTGACAAAATTAAATTTGCGGACCTCATGGCAGAAAACTTCATAATGGATGCAGGCCTGGGAAATTTGATAGCACTCTTTGAAATGTTACCACCTCTACAAAACACTGCCAAACTTCTCAGGAAAGAAAAGCCAAAAGGTAAGGGGATGTACTCTCCCCAATCCAGTCTCAGTCACCACTATGGTCAGTGTCATCACGTCCAAAGCATATTCCTCAGTAGCTACAGCACTACCAGTAGCTCAGTTGCCACCAAGTTGAAAACCTAGAGAACTACACTCCCATAACGTGTTTTAATTACTTTGAAGGAGAGGAATTTTGAGGAAGCCACCAAAGCAGAATGAATTCTCAAGAATTTTGTAATATTCTGATGCATTGGAAAAATTAAAATTTAGCAAAATAACATTTGACAACATGAAGAGTTTTGCAATGAATGTAGTTTAATTATTTAGATCAATTGATATCACATGTCCTTTAGGGTAAATCTCATTTCCCATGTCTTCAAAATTTTCATTTTGAACCATTCCTTTATAGAGGTAACCGGAATTCATTTCATTTAGTCATATATGGCACATTAATCTCTTTTTATTCATTCCCAAATCAGATAATGTTTAGTTTATAAACATGTGGATAGATGTTTGAAATTGAATTTAATCATTGGGCATCTAATTGGCTAGACGGTTCAGGCGAATGGTAAAATTGAATGCCTGGATTTCATTTTGATGTCTTCTCTTGCAGTTATGACTCTTCTACATTTTCCTGCATGTGAGCATTGTTTCTGATTCTGCCTCTGTTTCATGATTTAGGACAAATATATTGGAAAGTCGTCCCAGTCCGTGTCCTTCCACCCTGCAACATATTTGTATTCCATTTTTTGGGTTTTGTTTTTTTCCCTTTGTCATCAGAGCTTTTTTTCTGGCAAAGCATTCCCATCAAATGTGTTTTGATTTCAATGACATTTTCCCCAAAGGATTCTCTGCTTTGCTTTTCAAATGCTTTTTTCCTATTACTCCCAAACATTGTTTCTGTGTCTGTCTTTTTCCCCCTTTGGAACCAACAAGGTTGTTAGAAACAGAGAATAGATTTTGAGGCTTTTCTGTTGAAATACCATTGGCAAATGGATCTAATATTTTTTTTCAAATTTGATTTCACAGAAGGTAAATTGAGAGCACCTATTCTAACCATGGAAGATTAGAAGTATTTCAAAATTTAGAATCCTGATTTTGCAAGTTACTTCACTCATATGTTCCAAAAATGGTGCTACAAAAAGGTCACTGCTTTCTTTATCCCTGGGCCTCAAACAAAATCCATAAAGTTTCAACATCCAAATAGAATTGTCTCCTTTTAGTGAACTAAAAGGACATTATACATAGCTTTGTTCCACCTCATATTTGACAGTATTTCACAACTGCATTGTGTTGTCAAAGCCACCAGTGCAACATTTGCATTTTTAAAACATTTGTTTTTGCCATCCATACAGGGTGTTGCACCACTATTCCATAAAAATAACTCCTTTTGTAGGCATCTGTTTGATGCTGTGAATCAATTTCAGTATCACTATTCAATATCTTCAAATGATAGACTCTTTATTTATGGGTGCTTATAGAGCATTTGTTTTGCCTATAATACTTTTCGATCTCCCTACACTGCAATTTCTTTTCCTATGTATTTACACCTCTTGCAATGGTAGTTTTTCTTCTCTGGATTTCCTTGTTCCCTTGAACAAAGCAATTCACAAGGAGGAGGCTCACACTCACAGAGGCTCCAAAATTTCAACCACTCAAAAAATGCACAAACACGTGATTCTTAAATTAAAATGATTTTTTCCATTTATCCAAAAGTTGCAATTTCTCCTGAATGTTCCAAAGAAACACATAGGTGCTAAACTGGTTCAAAGGCAATATACTCAGTGCATTTGGGGAGTCTGAAATGTTGCAGAACACAAAACCAGAACTGATCCTAACAGTCTCATACTGCTCATAAGAACAACAATCATAGGAACATTTTTTCAAGAAAAGAATCGTCAATTGACAGTGACAGATAATGCAACAAGCAAGTGTTTCTAATGAATATAATTTGAAAACAAGGTCTTTACGAGCAGACCAAAAATTACAAAGTAAAATACGATAATTGATGTGCTTCAGTATAATATGCAGAAAAGAGAGACTTTGTGTTTGTTGTTGTTATTTTCACTTTTTTGAGAAATATGAGCATGGTTGAAGAAATTAAGCAAAGCTGAAATATGGCTTGAACCGTGACACCAAAAATGGTAATTTTTTTTACACGTCTAAAGAAATATATACAGTAACAGATGAAGTACTCCCAACAAATCAATATTTAATCATACTCTGGACCACACGTGGACATTCAACAGTCAAACTGAGAGAGCTACAGTGGACATCATTAAATACCTCATTAGATGCCATGCTAATCACACATAGTTAATGAACAGTCAAATGATCAAGAGGGCTGCTTGGGGGAAGAGGTAGTTGCAATACACATACACCAAGGAAAAAGTCCAGTCTATAGAGAATAAAAACCAGAGCCGGGGACTTGGTCAGTCATCACAACCTGTAAGATCTGTGGACTCCAAACTTTCATCTTTCACATCCATCCCTGATACGTTTCACACTGGCAGGAGCCTCTTAGGAATTCTTCAGCGTCACCTTTCTACAGTCAACCATGTCGTAATTCTGTCCTCCTTGTTGCACACATGAATGTAACAAATAACAGTGTGGACCTCACTCTGTCACGAATCAAATGAAGAGGCATACCTCATTTGTCAAGTTGTATCTGCACATATGAAATTGAAACTCACTTGCCAAATTTCTTTTGTAGATTTGACTCTTTTTACATGGAAAAAAACTACATGCAAGGAAATCGTTTTTCTGCACGGCTTATATCCTCTCAGTGACTATCATTTTAGAATGATAAAGTGCTTACTGGCAGAAGAATTAAAACTAAAGGAAAGAGAGTATAAAGAATGTGACAAAATTAAATTTGCCGACCTGATGGCAGAAAAGTTCATAATGGATGCGGGCCTGGGAAAATTGATAGCACTGTTTGAAATGTTACCACCTCTACAAAACACTGCAGAACTTCTCAGGAAAGAAAAGCCAAAAGGTAATGGGATGCACTCTCCCAAGTCTTGCCTCAATCCCCAACTTGGTCACAGTCATCACTTCCCCAGCATATTCCTCAGTAGCTACTACAGTTGTACTAGCTCATGTTGCAACAAGTTGAAATCCTAGAGAACTACACTCCAATAACATGTTTTAATTAATTTGAAGGAGAGGAATTTTGAGGAAGTCACCAAAGCAGAATGAATTCTCAACAAATTTGTAATATTCTGATGCATTGGAAAAATTTAAAATTTACAAAATAACATTTAACAACATGAAGAGTTTTACAATGAATGTAGTTTAATTATTTAGATCAATTAATATCACATGTCCTTTAGGGTAAATCTCATTTCCCATGTCTTCAAAATTTTCATTTTGAAAGCTTCCTTTATACAGATGACTGTCTTTCACTTAGATTTGGCACATTAATGTCTTTTTTATTCATTCCCAAATTAGATAATGTTTAGTTTACGACCAGTGGACAAATGTTTGAAATTGAATTTACTCATTGGTTATCACTTGGACAGAATGCTCAGGCGAACAGTACAATTCAATGCTTGAAATTCACTTTGCTGTCTTCTCTTGCAGTTATGACTCTTTTACATTCTCCTGCAGGGTGAGCATTATTTCTGTTTCTGCCTCTATTTCATGATTTAGGACAAGTACATTGGAAAATCTTCCTAGTCTGTGTCCTTCCACCCAGCAGCATATTTGTATTTCATTTATTGGTTGCTATTTTTTCTCTTTTCATCAGAGCTTTTATTCAGACAAAGCATTCACATCAAATGGGTTTTGATTCCAATGACTTTTCCGCGAGGAATTCCCTGCTTCGCTTTTTAAATCCTTTTTTCCTATTACTCGCAAACATTGTTTCTGAGTCGGCCTTTTTCCCCTTTGGAACCAACAAGGTCATTAGAAACAGAGAATGGATTTTTAGTCTTTTCTGTTGAAATACCATTTGATATGGTTTTAATTTTTTTTTTCAAATTTGATTTCACAGAAGGTAAGTTGAGAACACCTCTTCTAACCATGGAAGACTAGAAGTATTTCAAAATTTAGAATCCTGATTTGCAAGTTACTTCACTCATATGTTCAAAAAATGGTACTACAAAAAAGGTCACTGCTAGCTTTATCCCTAGGCCTCAATCAAAATCCATAATATTTCAACATCCAAGCAGAATTGTCTCATTTTAGTGAACTAAATGGACATTATGCATAGCTTTATTGCACTTCATATCTGACTGTATTTCACAACTGCATTGTGTTGTCAAAGCTAGCATGCAACATTTGCATTTTTAAAACATTTGTTTTGCCATCCATACAGGGTGTTGCACCAGTATTCCATAAAAATAACTCCTTTTGTAGCCATCTGTTTCCTGCTGGGAATCAATTTCAGTACCACTGTTGAATATCTTGAAATGATACACTCCTTATTTAGGCTTACTCATAGAACATTTGTTTTGGCTACAATACTTTTTGATCTCTCTACCCTGAAGTTTCTTTTCGCATGTATTTACACCTCTTGAATGGGAGTTTTCCTGCTCTGGATTTCCTTGTTCCCTTGAACAAAGCAATTCACAAGGAGTGCACTCCAACATTTCAACCACTCAAAACATGCACACACACACTTGATTCTTAAATTAAAATGATTTTTACATTTATACAAAAGTTGCACTTTCTTCTGAATGTCCCGAACAAACATATAGGTGCTAAATTGGTTCAAAGGAAATATACTCAGTGTATTTGCAGAGTCTGAAATGTTGCAGAGCACAAAACCAGAACTGACTCCTAACAGTCTCATGCTGCTCATAAGAACAACAATATTAGGAACGTTTATTTCAAGAAAAGAATCGTCAATTGACAGTGACAGATAATGCAACAAGCAAGTATTTCTAATGAATATCATTTTAAAACAAGGTCCTTACTAACAGGCCGAAAATTACCAGGTAAAATATGAAAATTGATGTTTTTCAGTATAATATGCAGAAAAGAGAGTCTTTGTTGTTGTTGTTATTTTCACTTTTTTGACAAATATGAGCATGATTGACGATATTAAGGAAACTTGAAATATGGCTTGAACCGTGACAGAAAAATGCTTATATTTTTTTAAATGGCTAAAGCAATACATCCAGTAACAGCTAAAGTACTTCCAACAAATCAGTGCTTTAATCATACTCTGGACTGCATGTGGACATTCAACAGTAACACTGAGAGGGCTAAAGGGGACATCTTCATATACCTCATTAGATGCCATGCTATTCACACTTACTTAATGAACACTCAAATGATCAAGAGGTCCTTGGGGGGAAAGGTAGTTGCAATACACATACACCAAGGAAAAAATCCAGTCTATAGGGAATAAAAACCATAGCGGGGGACTTGGCCAGTGGTCCCAACCTGTAAGATCTGCGTACACTAAACTTTCATCTCTCACATCCATCCCTGATACATTTCACATTGGCAGGAGCCTCTTAGGAAATCTTGAGCATCAACTTTCTACAGTGAACCATCTAGTAATTCTGTCCTCCTTGTTGCACACACGAACATATCATAATAGTGTGGACCTCACTCTGCCAGGAATCAAATGAAGAGGCATACCTCATTTGTCAAGTTGTATCTACACACGTGAAATGAAAACTCATTTGCCAAATTTCTTTTGTAGATTTGACTCTTTTTACATGGAAGGAAAATACATGCAAGGAAATCGTTTTTCTGCACGGCTTATATCCTCTCAGTGACTATCATTTTAGAATGATAAAGTGCTTACTGGCAGAAGAGTTAAAACTGAAGCAAAGAGAGTATAAAGAATGTGACAAAATTAAATTTGCTGACCTGATGGCAGATAATTTTGCAATAGATGCGGGCCTGGGAAAACTGATAGCACTCTTTGAAATGATCCCACCTCTACAAAACACCGCCAAGCTTCTCAGGAAAGAAAAGCCAAAAGGTAATGGGATGCACTCTCCCCAATCTTGTCTCACTCACCACTTTGGTCAGTGACATCACTTCCCCAGCATATTCCCCAGCTTTGTATCTACAGCAGTACTAGTAGCTTAGGTGTCAACAAGTTGAAAACCTAGAAAGCTACACTACCATAACATGTTTTGACATATTGAAGGAGAGGCATTTTGAGGAAGCCACCAAAGCAGAATGAATTCTCCACAAATTTGTAATATTGATGCATTGAAAAGATTAAAAATTAGCAAAATTACATTTGACAACATGAAGAGTTTTACAATGAATGCAGTTTAAGTGTTTAGATCAATTAATATCACGTCTTTTAGGGTAAATCTCATTTCCCTTGTCTTTAAAATTTTCATTTTGAAAGCTTCCTTTATAGAGGTAACTGGCTTTCACTTAGATTTGGCACAATAATCTCTTTTTTTATTCATTCCCTAATTAGATGATGTTTAGTTTACAACATCTGGATCGATTTTTGAAATTGAATTTAATCATTGGTTATCTACTTGGCTAGAACTTGAAGGCAAATGGAACAATTCAATGCTTGGATTTCATTTTGCTGTCTTCTCTTGCAGTTATGACTCTTCTATGTTCTCCTGCAGTGTGAGCATTGTTTCTGATTCTGCCTCTATTTTATGATTTAGGACAAATACACTGGAAACTCTTCTTGTCTGTGTCCTTCCGCCCTCATCATATTTATATTTCATTTTTTGGATTTTGTTTTTTTTTTTTTTTCCCTTTTTCATCAGAGCTCTTTTTCAGGCAAAGCATTCCCATCAAATGTGTTTTGATTTCAATGCCGTTTTCCCCTAGGAATTCTCTGCTTCGGTTTTCAAATCCTTTTTTCCTATTACTCCCAAACATTGTTTCTGTGTCTGTCTTTTATCCCTTTTGGAACCACCAAGCTCTTTTTTTTTTTTTTTTTTAACTTTTTTTTTTTTGTCTTTTTCGTTTTTATCGGTACCGGGGATCGAACTCATGACCGCCTGCTTGCAAGGCAGGTGCTTATGCCGCTGAGCTAAATCCCCAGCCCCTACCAAGCTCTTTAGAAACAGAGAATATATTTTGAGCCTTTTCTGTTGAATACCATATGTATATGGTTCTAATATTTGTTTCAAATTTAATTTCACAGAAGGTAAGTTGAGAGCACCTCTTCTAACCATGAAAGATTAGAAGTATTTCAAAATTTAGAATTCTGATTTTGTAAGTTGCTTCACACATAGGTTCTAAAAATGGTACTACAAAAAATGTCACTGCTTTCTTTATCCCTAGGCATCAGTCAAAATCCATAATGTTTCAATATCCAAGGAGAAGTGACTCACTTCAGTGACAAAAATGGACCTTACACATAGCTTTGTTGCACTTCATATCTGACTGTGTTTCACAACTTCATTGTGTTGTCAAAGCCACCAATGCAACATTTGCATTTTTAAAACATTTGTTTTTCCCATCCATACAGCGTGTTGCACCAGTATTCCATAAAAATAACTCCTTTTGTAGCCATCTGTTTCCTGCTACGAATCAATTTCAGTATCACGATTGAATATCTTAAAATGATAGACTCCTTATTTAGGGGTGCTCGTTGAGCCTTTGTTTTGCCTAGAATACTTTTTCATCTCACTACCCTGCAGTTTCTTTTCATATGTATTTACACCTCTTGCAATGGGAGTTTACCTTCTCTGGATTTCCTTGTTCACTTGACAAAGAATTTCACAAGAGGCAGTTCACACACTCAGGGACTCCAACATTTCAACCATTCGAAAGGTGTACAAACATGTGATTCTTAAATTAAAATGATTTTTATATTTCTCCAAAAGTTGTACTTTCTCCTGAATGTCCCAAACAAACATATAGGTGCTAAATTGGTTCAAAGGCAATATACTCAGTGCATTTGGGGAGTCTGAAATGTTGCAGAACACAAAACCAGAACTGACTCCTAACAGTCTCATGCTGCTCATAAGAACAACAATCATAGGAAAGTTTTTTGAAGAAAAGAATTAGTCAATTCACAGTGACAGATAATGCAACAAGCAAGTGTTTCTAATATCATTTTAAAACAAGATCCTTATTAGCAGACAAAAAAAAAAAAAAAAAAACAGGTAAAATGTGAAAATGGATGTCCTTCAGTATAATATCCAGAAAAGAGTCTTTTTGTAGTTTTTTTGTTGTTGTTGTTTTTATTTTCACTTATTGAGAAATATGAACATGGTTGAAGAAATTAAGGAAACTTGAAATATGGCTTGAACCATCACAGAAAAATGGGTACTTTTTAAAAAATGGCTAAAGCAGCATATCCTCTAGCATCTAAAGTACTTCCAACAAATCAATGCTTTAATCATACTCTGTACCACTGCGGACATTCAACAGTGATACTGAGAGAGCTACAGGAGACATCATTAAATACCTCATTAGATGCCAAGCTAATCACACATAGTTAATGAACACTCAAATGATCAAGATGGCTGCTTTGGGGAAAAGGTATTTGCAATACACATACACCAAGGAAAACATCCAGTTTATAAAGAATAAAAACCAGAGCCGTGGACGTGGCCAGTCGTCTCAACCTGTAAAATCTGCATACAGTAAACTTTCATGTCTCACATCCATCCCTGATACATGTCACATTGGCAGGAGCCTCTTAGGAATTCTTCAGCATCACCTTTCTGCAGTGAAACATCTGTTAATTCTGTCCTCCTTGTTGCACACACGAACATATCATAATAGTGTGGACCTCACTCTGTCAGGAATCAAATGAAGAGGCATACCTCATTTGTCAAGTTGTATCTATACATGTGAAATTAAAACTCACTTGCCAAATTTCTTTTGTAGATTTGACTCTTTTTACATGGAAAGAAAATACATGCAAGGAAATTGTTCTTCTGCACAGCTTATATCCTCTCAGTGACTATCATTTTAGAATGATAAAGTGCTTACTGGCAGAAGAGTTAAAACTGAAGCAAAGAGAGTATAAAGAATGTGACAAAATTAAATTTGCCGACCTGATGTCAGAAAAGTTCATAATGGATGCGGGCCTGGGAACCCTGATAGAACTCTTTGAAATGTTACCACCTCTACAAAATACTGCAGAACTTCTCAGGAAAGAAAACCCAAAAGGTAATGGATGCACTCTCCCAAGTCTTGTCTCAATCCCCATCTGGTCACAGTCATCACTTCCCCAGCAAAGTCCTCATTATATACAGCAGTTCTTGTAGCTCAGGTGCCAACAAGTTTGAAATCTAAAGAACTACATTTCTATAACACATCATAATAAATTTCTGGGGGATTTTTGGCAAGATCATGAAAATGATAGTATGAAGCAGAATGAATTGTCAAAAATTTGTAATATTTGATGCATTGGAAAAATTAAAAATTAGCCAAGTAACTTTTGATATCATGATGCACTTTATAATGAAAGTAGTTTAAGTATTTAGATCGATTATCATGTACCTTATTAGGTAAATCTCATTTCATTTTCCCTGCCTTCATACTTTTCCTCTTAAAACAGACTTTTTAGATGTAAATGTCTTTCTGTTAGTCAAATTCGAAACAACAATCTCTTTTTCATTTATTACCAAATTAGATAATATGTATTCCAGAACAAGTGGGTAGATGTTTGAAATTGAATTTAATCATTTGTCATATACTTGGCTAAAATGTTTAGGTGCATGACAGAATAGCATGGTTGCATTTTATTTTGCTGTCTTCTCTTGCACTTGGGGAACTTCTGCATTCTCCCACATGTGAGCATTTTTTCTAATTCTGCCTCTATTTTAAACTTTAGGACAAATACATTGGGAAAGATTCCTAGTCTGTGTCTTTACACCTTCCACCAGATTAATACTTCCTGGTTTGGGTTTTGGGTTTTTTGTGTGTGTGTGTGTGTGTGTGTGTGTGTGTGTGTGTGTGTGTGTGTCTTTCTACAGACCCTATTTTTCAGACAAAGCACGACAATCAGTGTGTCTTTTTTTACTGAATTTTCCCCCATGGGATTCTCTACTTTGCTTTTCATATTTTTATTAACAATGAATTCAAAGCATTGTTAATATGTGGGGTGTTTTTCTGTCTTGGATCTCAGGAGCCTGATAGGAATCCAAGAATAGATTTTTATGCTTTTTATTAGAATATTGTTTCCATATAGTTTTAAATTTTGGATCCAAAGTTTGGTTTCACACAATACAAGTTCAAAACACCACTTCTACACATGGAGGACGAGGCATATTTTACAATTCAGAATCTGAAGTTTACAGAAGGTTATTTCACTCACGAGTTCTAAAAATTATATTATAGGAAATGCCATTGCGATATTTATCCATTGACCTCAATCAAAATCCATAACATATCAACATCCATATAAAATCATCTTGTTTTACTGAACTAAAGATACATCATACATGACTTTGTGTAATATTACATCTGACTGTATTTCACAATTTCACTGTGTTGTCAAAGCCACCAATGAAAATCTGCTATTTCTAGAAAGCTTTTGCCCACCATATAGGATATGGAACAGTGTTCCAAAAAATGATTTCTCTTGTATCCATCTTTTTCCTGCTAAGAATCACGTTGAATATGATTCTTGAATAAGAGCAGGTGATAGACTCCTTATTTGTGGGTGCTTGTAGAGCATTTGTTTTGCCTAAAATACTCTTTCATTCTCACTACCCTGCAATTTGACTTCCATGGATTTACACATCATTTGATGAAATTTTCCATCTCAGGATTTCCTTATTCCCTTAACATGGAGACAATTCACAGTCTCAAGGACTCGAGCATTTCAACCAGTCAAAAAATACACAAACATGAGATTCTCAAACTACAATGTTTTGTACATTTATCCAAAAATAGAAAATTTATTCAGAATGTCCTGAAGAAAATGCACTATTGCTAAATTGATTGTCAGATAAGACACTCATTCCATTTCGGGAGACTGAAATCTTGCAGAATCAAAACCAGAATTCATTCCAAAAAGTCACATTGTGCTCATAAGAGCAAGAAGTGTAGGAATGGTTTTCCAGGAAAACAAAAGTCAGCTGGCAGTGACAGAAAATACGACAAACAAAATGCCTTGCATGCTTTTACTGAATATCATTTTAGAATGAAAACATCCTTACTGATAGACCAAAAATTATCAAAAAATGCAAAGAATGAAAACAAACATGCTTCAGTATGCTATGTAGAAACGACAGTCTTTTTTATTGTTATACTGTTCTTTTCATTTTTTGTGTGTGTGAGAAATGTGAGTATTTTTCAAGAAATTCAGCAAGGTCAAGTCATTGCTAAGTGACTGAAAAATGGTTGTATTTAAATAAAAATTACTAAAGAAAAACATCCAGTAACAGCTAATGTAGTGCCCATCAATGATTTAAAACTGCCATGGACTAGATGCTAATCTTCAATGGTAACACTGGAAGGGATACAGGGGACATTGTTGAATGTCACATTAGACACTATACTAACTGCACTTCATTATTGAGCTGTCAAATACTCCAGAAGGTTGCTTGACATAAGAGATACTTGCAATACACACATGCCAAAGAAAAACTCCAGTCTCTACACAACTAAACACAGAGTCAGGGACTTGGACACTGCATAGCCAGTCCTCTAAGCCTGTAACATCTGCCTATCTCCACTTCTTTCTCCCCTACCCATCACCCACACCTGTCAACTTCAATATGCAGGAGCCTCTTGGATTATTCATAGTGCTCTTCTTCGACCCTTTCTACAATGAAACATCTGGTAATTATGTCCTCCTTCTGCACACATACATGCATCATAGCAGTGTGGATGTCTCTCTGTTAGGAATCAAATAGACAGACATATGTTGTCTCTATACATGTATAGTGAAAGTCTATTTGCCAATTTTGTTTTGTAGGTTTACCTGCCTTTCCACGGAGGAAAAATACATGTAAGGAAACTGTTTTTCTGCACGGCTTATATCCTCTCAGTGACTATCATTTTAGAATGATAAAGTCCTTACTGGCAGAAGAGTTAAAACTGAAGCAAATAGAGTATGAAGAATGTGACAAAATTAAGTTGGTCGACCTGATGTCAGAAAAGTTTCTAGTGGATGCGGGCCTTGGAAAATTGATAGCACTCTTTGAAATGTTACCACCTCTCCAAAACATTGCTGAACTTCTCAGGAAAAAACACCCATTAGGTAATGGGATGCACTCTCCCAAGTCTTGCCTCAATCCCCACCTTGGTCTCAGTCATCACTTCTCCAGCATGTTCCTCAGTATCTACAGCAGTTCTAGTAGCACAGATGAAAACAGGTTGGAAATCTAGAGATTTATACTCCTTAACATATTGTAATAAATTTCTGGGGGATTTTTGGCGAGATCATGAAAGTGATGATATGAAGCAGAATGAATTTTCAACAAATTTGTAGTATTCGGATGCATTGGAAAAATTAAAAATTAGCCCCATAACATTTGACATCATGATGCACTTTATAATGAATGTATTTTAAGTATTTAGATCGATTAATGTCATGTATCTTTTAAGGTAAATCTCATTTCATTTCCCCTGCCTTCAAACTTTTCATCTTAAATCTGCCTCTATAGATGTAAATGACTTTCTCTTTGTCAAATTCGAAACAATCTCTTTTTTCATTTATTACATAATTAGATAATATGTATTCCACAACAAGTGGGTAGATGTTTGAAATTGAATTTAATCATTTGTCATATACCTTGCTAGAATATTTAGGTGCATGACAGAATTGCACGCTTGGATTTTGTTTTGATATCTTCTCTTGCAGTTTTGGCATTTCTGCATTCGCTCACATAAGAGAATTTTTTCTAAATTTGCCTCTATTATAAGCTTTAGGACAAATACATTGGGAACGATTCCTAGTCCTTTTCTTTCCTGCTTCCACCATATTAATACTTGCTGGTTTGGGTTTTGGGTTTGTGTGTGTGTGTGTGTATCCATTTCTACAGGTCTTTTTTTTTTTCGGACAAAGCACGACAATCAGTGTGTCTTTTTTTACTGAATTTTCCCCCATGGGATTCTCTACTGTGCTTTGCAGATTTCTATTAACAATTAATTCAAAGCATTGTTTATATGTGGGGTGTTTTTCTGTCTTGGATCTCAGGAGCCTGATAGGAATTCAAGAATAGATTTTAATGATTTTTATTATAATACTGTTTCCATATAGTTTTAAATTTTGGATCCAAATTTGGTTTCACACAATACAAGTTCAGAACACCTCTTCTACACGTGAATGACTAGGCATATTTTGAAATTCAGAATCTGAAGTTTGCATAATGTTATTTCACTCATGTGTTCTAAAAATTGTATTATAAGAAATGCCATTGCTATATTTATCCATTGATGTCAATCAACATCCATTACACTTCAACATCCAAATAGAATCATCTAATTTTACTGAACTAAAGAGACATTATACATAGCTTTGTGTCACTTTACATCTGACTATATTTCACAAATTCACTTTGCGGTCAAAGCCACCAATGAAAATTCACTATTTCTAAAAAGCTTTTGTGCACCATCTAGAATACTGGGCTAGTATTCCAAAAAAATTATTTCTCTTGTATCCATCTGTTTCCTGCTAAGAATCACTTTTTATTCGAGTCTTGAATAAGGCCAGGTGATAGACTCCTTTTTTGGGGGTGCCGGTAGAGAATTTGTTTTGCCTAAAATACTCTTTATTCTCATTAACCTGCAATTTGACTTCCGTGGATTTGCACATCATTTGATGAAATTTTCCATCTCAGGATTTCCTTGTTCCCTTAACATGGAGACAATTCACAGGCTCAAGGACTCGAACATTTCAACCAGTCAAAAAATACACAAACATGAGATTCTCAAACTACAATGTTTTTTACATTTATCCAAAAATAGAATATTTATTCTGAATATCCTGAAGAAAAAGCACTATTGCTAAATTAATTGTCAGATGAGACACTCATTCCATTTTCGGAGTCTGAAATCCTGCAGCATTCAAAACCAGAATTCATTCCAAAAAGTCACATTGTGCTCATAAGAGCAAGAAGTGTAGGAATGGTTTTCCAGGAAAACAAAAGTCAGCTGGCAGTGACAGAAAATACGACAAACAAAATGCCTTGCATGCTTTTACTGAATATCATGTTAGAATGAAAACATCCTTACTGACAGACCAAAAATTAACAAAAAAATGCAAAGAATGAAAACAAACATTCTTCAGTATGCTATGTAGAAACGACAGTCTTTTTCATTGTTATAATGTTCTTTTCATTTTTTTGTGTAAGAAATGTGAGTATATTCAAGAAATTCAGCAAGGTCAAGTCATTGCTAAGTGACTGAAAAATGGTTATATTTAAATAAAAATTACAAAAAAAAACATCCAGTAACAGCTAATATAGTGCCAATCAATGATTTAATACTTCCATGGACTAGATGCGAACGCTCAGTGCTGACACTGGAAGGGATACAAGGGACATTGTTGAATGTCACATTAGACACTATGCTAACTGCACTTCATTAATGAGCAGTCAAATACTCCACAGGGTTGCTTGGCAGAAGAGATACTTGCAATACACACACGCCAAGGAAAAACTCCAGGCTCTACAGAACAAAACCCAGAGTCAGAGACTTGGACACTGCATAGCCAGTCCTCTAAGCCTGTAACATCTGCCTATCTCCACTTCTTTCTCCCCTACCCATCACCCACACCTGTCAACTTCAATATGCAGGAGCCTCTTGGAATTATTCATAGTGCTCTTCTTCGACCCTTTCTACAATGAAACATCTGGTAATTATGTCCTCTTTCTGCACACACACATGTATCACAGCAGTGTGGACTTCTCTCTATTAGGAATCAAATAGACAGATACATGTTGTCTCTATGCATGTATAGTGAAAGTCTATTTGCCAATTTTGTTTTTTAGGTTTAACTGCCTTTCCAAGGAGGAAAAATACATGTAAGGAAATCGTTTTTCTGCACGGCTTATATCCTCTCAGTGACTATCATTTTAGAATGATAAAGTGCTTACTGGCAGAAGAGTTAAAACTGAAGCAAATAGAGTATGAAGAATGTGACAAAATTAAGTTGGCCGACCTGATGTCAGAAAAGTTTCTAGTGGATGCGGGCCTTGGAAAATTGATAGCACTCTTTGAAATGATGCCACCTCTAGAAAACACTGCAGAACTTCTCAGGAATGAAAGCCAAAAGGTAATGGGATGCACTCTCCCCAATCTTGTCTCACTCACCACTTTGGTCAGTGTCATCACATCCCCAGCATATTCCTTTGTATCTATAGCAGTACTAGTAGCTTAGGTGCCAACAAGTTGAAATCCTAGAGAACTACACTCCTCTAACTTGTTTTAATAAATTTGAAGAAGAAGAATTTTGAAGAAGCCACCATAGCAGAATGAATTCTCAACAAATTTGTAGTATTCGGATGCATTGGAAAAATTAAAAATTAGCAAAATAACATTTGACAACATAAAGAGTTTTACAATGCATGCAATTTAAGTATTTAGATCAATTAATATCACATATCTTTTAGAGTAAATCTTATTTCCGATGTCTTCAAACTTCTCATTTTGAAAGCTTCCTTTATAGAGGTGACTGGCTTTCACTTAGATTTGGCACATTAATCTCTTTTTTATTTATTCCCAAATTAGATAATGTTTAGTTTACGACATGTGGATAGATGTTTTAAATTGAATTTACTCATTGGTCATCTACTGGGCTAGAACGTTCAGGCGAATGGTAAAATTGAATGCCTGGATTTTATTTTGCTGTCTTCTCTTGCAGTTATGACTCTTCTACGTTCTCCTGCATGTGAGCATTGTTTCTGATTCTGCCTCTATTTCATAATTTAGGACAAATGCATTGAAAATCTTGCTAGTCTGTGTCCTTCCACCCTGCAACATATTTATATTTCATTTTTTGGTTTTTGTTTTTTTCCCTTTTTCATCAGAGCTCTTTTTCAGGCAAAGCATTCCCGTCAAATGTGTTTTGATTTCAATGACATTTTCCCCAAGGGATTCTCTGCTTTGCTTTTCAAATCCTTTTTTCCTATTACTCCCAAACATTGTTTCTGCGTTTCTCTTTTTCCCTTTTGGAACCAACAAGGTCGTTAGAAACACAGAATAGATTTTGAGGCTTTTCTTTTGAAATACCATTTGTATGAAATACAAATTTGTATACAAATACAAATTATGAAATACCATGGTTCTAATGGATTTTTTCAAATTTTATTTCACAGAAGGTAAGTTGAGAGCACCACTTCTAACCATGGAAGATTAGAAGTATTTCAAAAGTTAGAATCCTGATTTTGCAAGTTACTTCACTCTTATGTTCTAAAAGTCATACTACAAAAAAAAAAAGTCACTGCTTTCTTTATTCCTAGGCCTCAGTCAAAATCCATAATGTTTCAGCATCCAAGTAGAATTGTCTCATTTTAGTGAACTAAATGGACATTATACATAGCTTTGTTGCACTTCATATCTGACTGTATTATACAACTGCATTGTGTTGTCAAAGCCACCAATGCAACATTTGCATTTTTAAAACAATTGTTTTTGCCATCCATACAGGGTGTTGCACCAGTATTTGATAAAAATAACTCCTTTTGTAGCCATCTGTTTCCTGCTGGGAATCAATTTCAGTATCACTGTTGAATATCTTGAAATGATAGACTCCTTATTTAGGGCTCATTGAGCATTTGTTTTGCCTATATACTTTCGATCTCACTATCCTGAAGTCTCTTTTGCTATGTATTTACAGCTATTACAATCAGAGTTTTCCTTTCTGGATTGCCTTGTTCCCTTGAACAAAGCAATTCACAAGGAGGCAGATTACACACCCAGGGACTCCAACATTTCAACCACTCAAAAGATGCACAAACACGTGACTCTTAAATTAAAATGATTTTTACATTTATCAAATTTGCAATTTCTTCTGAATGTGCTGAACAAACATATAGGTGCTAAATTGGTTGAAAGGCAATGTACTCAGTGCATTTAGGGAATTTAAAAAGTTGCAGTACACAAAACCAGAACTGACTCAACAGTCTCATGCTGCTCGTAAGAACAACAATCATAGGAACGTTTTTTCAAGAAAAGAATCGTCCATTGATAATGACAGATAATGCAACAAGCAAGTGTTTCTAATGAATAACATTTTAAAACAAGGTCCTTTCAGGCAGACCAAAAATTACCAGGTAAAATATGAAAATTGATGTGCTTCAGTATAATATGCAGAAAAGAGAGTCTTTGTTGTTGTTATTGTTGCTTTTTTGAGAAACATGAGCATGTTTGAAGATATTAAGGAAACTTGAAATATGGCTTGAACCATGACAAACCAATGGTTATATTTTTTTTAAAAAATGGCTAAATATGGGGCTGGGGATTTAGCTCAGGGTCATAAGCGCCTGCCTTGCAAGTAGGCAGTCGTGAGTTCAATCTTCAGTACTGATAAAAAGGAAAAAGGCAAAGAAAAAAAAAAAAACAATGACTAAAGAAAATATCAGTAATAGCTAAAGTACTTCCAACAAATCAATGCTTTAATCATACTCTGGATCACATGTGAACTTTCAACCGTGATACTCACAGGGCTACAGGGAACATCATTAAATACCTCATTGGATGCTATGCTAATCACACATAGTTAATGAACACTGAAATGATCAAGAGGGCTGCTTAGGGGAAGTGGTAGTTACAACACATACACCAAGGAAAAACTCCAGTCTATACAGAATAAAAAGCAGAGCTGGGACTTGGCCAGTCGTCTGAGCCTGTAAGATCTGTGGACTCCAAACTTTGTTCTCTCACATCCATCCCTGATACATTTCACACTGGCAGGAGCCTCTTAGGAATTGTTCAGCATCACCTTTCTACAGTGAACCATCTGGTAATTCTGTCTTCCTTTTTGCACACACGAACATATCATAATAGTGTGGACCTCACTCTGTCAGGAATCAAATCAAGAGGCATACCTCATTTGTCAAGTTGTATCTACACATGTGAAACGAAAACTCATTTACCAAATTTCTTTTGTAGATTTGACTCTTTTTACATGGAAGGAAAATTCATGCAAGGAAATCGTTTTTCTGCACGGCTTATATCCTCTCAGTGACTATCATTTTAGAATGATAAAGTCCTTACTGGCAGAAGAGTTAAAACTGCAGCGAAGTAAGTATGAAGAATGTGACAAAATTAAATTGGCTGACCTGATGGCAAAAAACTTCAAAATGGATGCGGGCCTGGAAACACTGATAGCACTCTTCGAAATGACGCCGTCTCTAGAAAACACTGCGAAACTTCTCAGAAAGAAAAAACCGAAAATGTAATAGGGTGCCTCCTCCCCAATCTTGTCTCAATCCCCATCTCGGTCACAGTCACTACTTCCCTAGTGTATTCCTCACTATCTACAGGAGTACTCGTAGCTCAGGTGACAACAGCTTGAATACTTGGAGAACTCTCTCCTATAACATGTTCTAATAAATTTGAGGAATGGGATTTTTGAGGAGGCCACTAAAGTGATGAAATAAAGCAGAATGAATTCTCAATAAATTTCTAACATTCTTATGCATTGGAAAAATTAAAAATTAGCAAACTAATATTTGACAATATGAAGCATTTTACACTAATTGCAGTTTAAGTATTTAGATAAATTAACATCATGTCTTTTAAGGTAAATCTCATTTCTCTTCTCTTCAAACTTCATCTTACAGCTTATAGAGGTAACTTGCTTTCCTTTAGTTACATTTGTCACATTAATCCTTTTTCATTTATTCCCCAATTAGATAATGTTTACTTCACAACACGTGGGTAGATTTTCATCAAATTTAATTATTTGTCACCTACTTGGCTAGAATATTCAGACGCATGTTACCCTTGCATGCTTGGTCTTCATTTTGTTGTCTTCTCTCAGTTATGACTCTTCTGCATTCTCCTCCATGTGAACATTGCTTCTAATTCTACCTCTATTTTATGATTTAGAACAAATACATTGGGCAATATTCCTAATCTGTGTCCTCCACTCTCCTTCATTTTGGTATTTCCTTTCTCTCTCTCTCCTTCTCTCTCTGTCTCTCTCTGTCTCTCTCTCTCTCTCTCTCTCTCTCTGTCTCTCTGTCTCTCTCTCTCTCTCTCTCTTTCACCACAGCCTGTTTTTCAGACAAAGCCCACCAATCAAATGTGTTTTTATTTCATTTAATTTTCATCTGAAATTATTCGCTTTCCTTTTTGTGTTCTTGTTCCATATTACTTCCAAACCTTGTTTCAGTTTTATACTGTTTTGTTTTGTATGATTCATTGTGTGTATGAAGATGTAGACAACTATTTAAAAGAAAACAAGGGACTTTATGGCAGCCACTGTTGATCTCCTGTTGTCTTGCTTTGAAATCTATGTCACTTACATTTTTTTTCTTCTGATCTGCTTTGTTCTGTTTTGTTCTGTTTAGTTTTACTCTCTTTAAAATTAAGTTAAAAAAATAATGCTTGCATTGTTAGATTGACTTTGTAGACCAAATGCTGGTCGTCTGGGAGTTTATTTGGATGATAACAATATGAATTATAGCAACTGTCGGAGATTTTCTTTTGTTTTGCTTTGAAATCCAATATTCTGTTCCATTTTACTCTTTTATTTGATTTGTATGTCTGGAAACCTGAGCAAGTATTTTTGAGGTTAACAACATGCCAAATAACCATTGTGAAATTCCTATAATCTTGTTTTGAAAACCCTATTAGATATTGTTGTTTTTATTGTTCTCCTTTTGTATTTATTGTTGTTATGTTTAAATTTGTTTATTTTTATTTTTATGGTTTTTCTTATTTCTCTTTAAAATTAGAAAAACAGAATGTTCTCATTTAAGTGAAATGAACAAAGATTACACAAAGCCTTCTGTCATGTCACATCTGGTTGTATTTCACAACTGCATTGTACTGTCAAAGTTGTCAATCAAATTTTTCTATTTTTAACATCTTTTGGATTTGCAATATTTACTGAACTATGATCAATCCCTATATAAAATTATGTCCCTATTATGTCCCTATATGAAAATTGTTCTTGCTTACAGTCTGCATTGCTGTTGAGAATCATTTTCAGAATTACATTTGAATCTTTATAGGTAGTCAACAATTTATGGTGGCTTTTATTTTGCATTTAATGCTCTTTAATTTCACCCACTAAAATGTGTCTTTGCATGTATTAAAACCTCATGCTATGAAAATTTTCAGTCTCAGGATTTTGTTGTTCCTTTAAAAATAAAGTAATTAACAGACTCAGAGATTTGAACATTTCTATTACACAAAAAATAAACAAACATATGATTCCTAAATTCAAAGGTTTTGTACATTTATTAAAAAATTGAAATCCATACCATGCACTGAGTGTCATCAAGAAAATGTACAGGTACTAAAGAGATTTAGAGATGCAACATACAGACTATTGGTAACTCTGGAAGCTTGAAGAACACAAAACCTTAGTTCCGTCTTAATGATTGATAGGAAATAATAAGAGCAAGAAGTGTTGAAATATTTTTCCAGGAAAGAGAAGCGAAATAGCAATAATATAAAATATGACAATCAAGGTATGTTACATATTTCTAAAGGACATGATGTAAGGAGTCCAGAAAATTAGAAAGTGAAGTCTCAAATGGTTTAAGAAGACCTACTAAAATATTTTACAGTGATAACATGAGTTGTTGTTGCTTTTCTTTGTAATAGAAATGGAAGAATTTTTGAAAGTTTTCAGCAAATTGAATTAGGAATTTTAGACAAAAAACCGGTTGTTTTAAGTGCTGGATTAAGGAAACAAAGCAAGTAACAGTTGATGTAATTCCAACTAACAAATACTGTGGTCCTGTTCTGTAACAAGTGTGCATATTCACCAGGTAACACTGCTAAGATTTCAGAGGACATAGTATAATACTAGTGGAGACAGAACTCTAATGAGAATTAATTAATAAAGATCCAAATGGAAAAGGAATATTGGGGAGTGAGCAGACAAATGCAAAGGATAGACTCCAGCCTATACAGAATAAAAAGAGCCAGGGAATTGCACATTGCATAGCCAATACTCCAAGCACTGTAAAATCTGCCTGCCTCCAAACTTTCTTCTCTCACATCCGTGCCTGACACAATTCACCATCAACAAGGAGGAAATTCTTAGCAATGTGTAACGGAGCTGTTCTATGTCCATTTTCTGTAGTGAAACATGTATTTAGTATGTCCCTTCCTGTTGCACACATACATGTATCTTGTGGACCTCACTATTCTATGAATCAAATAAAGAGACAAATTTATTTTTCAAGTTGTCTCTATACGTACATAATGAAACTGTGTGTGCCAGTTTTCTTTTGTAGTTTCACCCATCTTCAAGGGTGGAAAATACGTTCAAGGAATTTTTCTTCAGCAAGATTTGTATCCTATCAGTGATTGTACTTTTAGAATGATAAGGTACTTACTGGTTGAAGAGGTGAAACTAAAGTGAAGCAGGTATGAAGAATATGACAAAATTTAACTTGTTGACCAGTGGCAGAAAAGTACTAGGTGTTATAGAACTGAGAAAACTGATAACACTGTTCAAAAAGATGCCAGAATTTTTCTAAGAAAACACTGCTGAAATTGTCAGGAAAGAGAAGAAAAAAGGTGATAGGGTACACCCTCCCTAATATTATCTGCAATCCCAAATTTGTCATGATCATCACTTCCCTGGCATATTTTTCAGGATCTGTGGCAATCACTGTCACTCTTGTGCCAACAAGTTCAACACCTAGAGAATGCCTCTACTATAAAATGTTCTAATATATTTGAAGAAGAGAATTTGAAGAGACCACAGAAGAAATGAGAAAAAGCAGAATATACTCTTGACAATTCTAATGCTTTTGACACATTCAAAAATTAGAAAATAGCCAAATAAAAATTCAAAAGCTAATGCATTTAAAATGAATGTATTTTAGGCTGTTGCTTTGAGGAATTATCCTGCAACAGTCCCCTCACATGAATATTCAACAGTCTGCTGGTATAAAAATTAAATGCTGCCTTGTCATCTCCTCAGTGCAAAGAGTCTTCCTTTTGGTTTGGTTTGGTTTGATTTGGTTTGGCTTGGGAATTTTCCCACAACATTTCTGATGTTCAGGTTGGAAGACACCTTAATGGCCACTTAAATCACTGGGGCAGGCCCTGCTGGCTGCTGCTGGGGTCACTCCTAACTAATGACGAGAAGGCACACTCTGACTTTTTGTTTGGGTCTTCTTGGCAGTCAAGGAGAAGAAGCCCCAGCACAACAGCAAGGACCTCATCAGACACAAAGAGGAGTTATAATGTAATACAGACCAGGTCCTTGGGTAAGTGGGAGGGATGCTGCTCCCATGCAGGACAGAGCTAGGAAGAACAGAAGCACTGCATCAGCAGTAGATCCAAGGTATAGCTCTATGTTGGGTTTTGAGTCTGGCAGAACACCTTACCTCTTGAATTTTCTGGAAAAGAGAAGTTTTGCTTATTTGGCTCAGTGTCTGGTTCTTTGGCATTTTGCCACCATATTTTCTGTGATGTTAATCAATATGAGTCGTAGAATACCAGGAAAATCAGCTGCTTAAAACAGTTATATCGCTATTGGCTACAACAGCATCGAACACAGTCTAGAAAATGACAATCTGAGATAACCATTAATTTGCCACTTTTAATCATATGAACTAGATTCACGGTTATATAACAAAATCTAAAACAAACCAGAAAATTATATGTAGTACACAAGTCTTCAATATGTCAATTTTGCCCTGAGGAGTAAAAATTTAAAATGAATTGTTGAGAAAATAGAGAAGTGAAAAATAAAGAAAAGAACATAGAAAAGTTAAAGAAGAAGAAGAGACTAGAAGTAAAGTTGTAGGACAAAGCATGATCGTGTTGATTTTGGGAAACGTGCAGAAAACTGAAGGGAAAATGAAAAGGAAGATATAAAAAGACAGAACCACAAACACATAGAGGCTAGAAACCATGTTCACACTCATATAAAGGCAAGATCAAAGGAGGAAAGAAGAAAAAAAAAGAAAGAAAAGAAAAATAAATTTAAAAAATAAACATCACCACAGCACCAAAAACAAATGAGGAAGAGAGAGGGGGAAAAAATGAAAATTCATTTCCAGGGTTGTCTCTGCTTTCACTGGTAGAGAACCTGGGAGACACAGTCCCGATGCTAGGTGATCTTCCACAGTGAGCCAGCTTGTAAATTTTTGGTGGGGTAATGGATAATCTCAGTGGGCCTGCAGTTTCTGGCTGAGACCAGACTCATTAGGCTCACTGTGCACATTCTTCAGGTGGGAGCCCAGCTGGGAGCTGCTAAATGGATCCAGCAGCATTTTTTATTTCAAACAGCTCCACTCCAAGATCTCTGCAGGCCAATTGCTCTCTCTCAAGGGAGGACTGAGCCTCTGTATTCACTGCCATCCAGTGCTGCACTTTATGTCTGTTACACCCCTCCACTGCTGTGTTTGTTCCCAGAGGCCTCTGGCATCACCAGCCATCACAGTCACCATGTGTCTGCAGGTTTGAACTGCTCCCTTGCAGTGAATCCATCTCGGGGATAGTTACCTCCTTGCCCTTCCCTGAAGTTTCTCTCTGCATGCTTTCTGCAGATTGGGTTGGCACATCAAATCCTTCCAGGGTCCAGAGGACCTACTTACATCCTTCTTGTCTTCATCACATTGTTATAGTACAGTGTCTGGACAGTGACTCTCAGACAGGGTCTTTCTTTGCTGCTTACAGCTATGCCATCTTGGTCTTTCTCTGCCAACATTTGTTCTTGGAAAAGAACTTGCAATAATTTAATCCGGAGATCTATTTTGGGACTGATCCTGTAATACTTACACTTTGGCCTGTCTCACCCTTATGTATAATTTCTGGAAATATATTTGACATCTTGTTGTTAGGTTTAAACAGTATGAGAAGTGAATAAAAAACAGTATGAGAAATGATGAAGGGATTTAGAAAATGTGACATAACTGAGGCCTTGCTGCATTCACCGAGTTTAGCTACAATATTCATTCTTGCATCCTGGACAACTAATCTCTTGTGTACAACACTCGTATTGATAGTTTCTCACAATACTGTTTTGTCTCATGAATTGATCCAGGATAAGTACAGGTGTTCTCATGTAATAAACATTGGTATGAACTTTTTTAAAATGGTTGCATTTAAAATATTTAGAACAACTAGTACTGCTTCTCTTTTAAGATACTTATTCCATCTTTAATATCTTCTCTGACAACAGAGGTAGTACATAAATAAAAACCCATTTGTCACAGATGTAAAGAATTTTTCTAAAATCACTGGGTTGTTAAAAATATGTAAGATGTCAAAGGCTGCTCTCGTGACTTTGTCACAGCATAAATGAAAACAAAATTTCTTGTTTGGTTTCTTAAATTTGTTAAGGTCTTCTGTGGAAGATGAGCTAGTCTTAGCATCTGGAAAACTTTTGATTCTTAAAAGGAAAATGGAGGAAAAGATACTGAAGTACTTGAAATCCCACAAGGTGGGAAGACTTCCAATTGCAACTGAGAAAATAGAAAAAGCCCTGAGGCAGTGTTTGTGCCATGATTGCCACTGTTGCCTGACTTGTGACCAGTCAATGAGGTAGAAATAGAGGAAATTACTTAGATACACAAATAGAAACAGAGGAAATGATACTGACCCTACTAAAGCACCCTCTTGATATTACTATGGCCCTCCCCTCTATTGTATTTCCCTTCAGAGTATTAGATAAAATGAAATAAAAGTAAAAGGCAAATATACAGGGAAAAGAAACAAGAAGGAAGAATCCACTGCTGTTCAATACACACTCACCACAGATGAAGATTTCAAACCAGAATCAGTTATGAATATGCCTTTGTCAAAGGTAAGCTGGCCAAGTTCCAATGACCAAATCTGCTTCCATGTCTCTCCCATATCTTGTTTTTCGATGAACACTTCTGCAGTTGTTTGTTC